TGATCCCCCACTGTCCCCTACCCCTGAGGGTCATGATTTGAACAAACTTGAATCTACACTTTCAGAGGATGCTAATATATATATAGCTCCATGATTTTTATCTCTACTGGTCAGAGACCAGAACAGCTTATGCGATAGTAAGGTGTCCGTCGTCCATCCATTTGTCTGTAACCATTTTTTAGCTCACCTGAGCCGAAGGCTCAAGTGAGCTTTCCTGATCAAAATTTGTCCGTTGTCTGTCGTCGTTGTCGTTAACTTTTCACATTTTCACTTCTTCAACCAAACTTGGCACAAAGTATCCTTAGGTGAAGGGGATTCAAGTTTGTTCAAAATGAAGGTAGTAGTAGTAGTAGTAAATTTTATTTAAAGTCGGACTACATACACATAACACCCTTGTTCAAGGGGAGATAATTTAGAAATAGTGAAAATTTGATGATATGTTTTAAAAATCTTCTTCTCAAGAACCACTGTGCCAGGAAAGATGAAGCTTATAGGGAAGCATCCTCAGGTAGCGTAGATTCAAATTTGTTCAAGTGATGACCACCGGGGTTAGGGCGGGGCCACAATGGCTGATCAAAGTTTTACATAGAAATATATAGGAAAATTCTTTAAAAATCCTCTTCTCAAGAACCACTGTGCCAGGAAAGATGAAACTTATAGGGAAGCATTCGCAGATAGTGTAGATTCAAGTTTGTTCAAATCATGACCCCCGGGGGTAGGGCGGGGCCACAATGGCCAATCAAATTTTTACATAGAAATATATAGGAAAATTTTTTAAAAATCTTCTTCTCAAGAACCACTCTGCCAGTAAAGATGAAACTCATAAGGAAGCATCCTCAGGTAGTGCAGATTCAAGTTTGTTTAAATCATAACCCCCGGGGGTAGGGCGGGGCTACAATGGCCAATCAAATTTTTACATAGAAATTTATAGGAAAATTCTTTAAAAATCTTCTTCTCAAGAACCACTGTGCCAGGAAAGTTGAAACTTATAGGGAAGCATCCTCAGGTAGTGTAAATTCAAGTTTGTTCAAATCATGACCCCCAGGTGTAGGGCGGGGCCACAATGGCCGACCATAGTTTTACATAGAAATATATGGGAAAAGTCTTTTAAAATCTTCTTCTCAAGAACCACTGTGCCAGGAAAGTTAAAACTTATAGGGAAGCTACCTCAGGTAGTGTAGATTCAAATTTGTTCAAATCATGACCCCCGGGGGTAGGGCGGGGCACCAATGGCTGATCAATGTTTTACATAGAAATATATAGGAAAATCTGTTAAAAATCTTCTCAAGAATTAACAAAGGCAAGTTATATTTATATTTATATGAAAGCATCTTCAGGTAGTGTAGATTCAGGTTTGTTCAAATCATGACCCCCTGGTGTAGGGCGGGGCCACAATGGCCGATCAAAGTTTCACATAGAAATATATAGGAAAATTCTTTTAAAATCTTCTTCTCTGGAATAGCAAAGGCATGAATGATCATATTTTTATGGAAGCATCCTCAGCTAGTGGACATTCAAATTAGTTCAGATCATGACCCCTGGGGGTAGGGCGGGGCCACAACATGGAATCCAAGTTTTACATAGAAACATGTAGAAAAAATCTTTAAAAATCTTCTTTTCAGAAATAGCAAAGCCATGATTAGTCTTATTCATATGGAAGCATTCTCAGGTAGTGTAGATTCAATTTTGTTCAAGTCATGACCCCTGGGGGTAGGGCAGGGCCACAAAGGCCCACAATGTAAATTCAAATGTAATGGGCAATAAAGCAACAGGTAGTCAAAAAAATATGCAAGCATCCTTAGTTAGTGTAGATTCAAGTTTGTTCAGATCATACCCTCTCCCTTTTAAGGATTGTTTGGGACCACTATTGGGTTTTAACTTTTCAATAATAAACTGATTTATGCTTTTTCCTAGCCACATTGCTCAGGTGAGCGATGTGGCCCATGGGCCTCTTGTTCTACAGTTTTGGTCTGATTTCAATATAATTTGGCACGCAAGTAGACTACCTTTCCTAGCCACATTGCTCAGGTGAGCGATGTGGCCCATGGGCCTCTTGTTCTACAGTTTTGGTCTGATTTCAATATAATTTGGCACGCAAGTAGACTACCTTTCCTAGCCACATTGCTCAGGTGAGCGATGTGGCCCATGGGCCTCTTGTTCTACAGTTTTGGTCTGATTTCAATATAATTTGGCACACAAGTAGACTACCTTAACATACATAATTTAGTGCATCGGTTTTTGATTTCGATGAACGGTGTTGCCATGGTTACAAAAAATAGAATTTTCTGTAAAATTACTTTAATTCACTATTCCTCCTACAGTTTTGGTCTGATTTCAATATAGCTTGGCAAGCAAGTAGACTACCTTAAGATGCAGAATTTAGTGCATCGGTTTTTGATTTCGATGATTGGTGTTGCCATGAATACTAGAAATAGACATTTCTGTGAAATTCTTTTAAAACGCTATTCATCTTACAGTTTTGGTCTGATTTCAATATTACATGGCACACAAGTAGGCTTCACTAAGATACGTATTTAGTGCATTGTTTTTTGATATCGATGAACGGTGCTGCCATGGTTACTAAAAATAGACATTTCTTTAAAATTCTTTTAAAACGCTACTCCTCCTTACAGTTTGGGCTGATTTCAATATAATTTGGCACACAAGTAAACTACACTAAGGTACATATTTAGTACATCGGTTTTTGATTTTGATGGTGTTTCCATGTCTACTAAAATTAGACATTTCTGTGAAATTCCATTAAAACGCTACTCCTCCTACAATTTTGGTCTGATTTCAATATAATTTGGCACACAAGCACACTACACTAAGATACATTATTCTATTTTTGCTGCCTGTAGCAAAGTTTCAAATTCAAGTGCTACTTTTCCTTAGTTATACGTACAGACCAGTAGAGCTACAGTCTCATCAGAGACTTCTGGTTAATAGTGAAATCATCTTAGTTTCACACCTTGCACACCAGGAGGCCAAGAAATGGCATTTGTATCCACTTCCTGCATGTTAGATCCTCAATATGCAAAGTTGAAATCTTTTTAGAAAATTGTGCATTAGAGCCAAGGGTTTATTTGATGAATTAATATATGATATGTGATCAAACTTAGGCTTTAAAATGAAAGCTTGCAATTTGTAACATACAGTTAAGATTTATTCAACAGATATCCCAAAACAATATATATTTTTTACTGTATCACCATTTGTGAAACTGTACATAACTCCAAACAAGGACATCTTGTTGAACACCAGGAGTCACCATAAAGATCTAGTTACAAGCCTTATAATTAACTCAAATCACTGTAAATATAATGACCATAACATTTATAATGATGTCGTAAAAGTACTATGTACAAGAGCAATGTTACCATATTAAAGGATAGTAAATCATAATAATAATCATATACAGAAAACAGAGATATAATGGATTATCACTGCTACAGTTGTAACATACAAATAAAAATTGTGCAATAATTGAAATTCTTTATTATTGAATTATGAAATGTGAGACTTAATTTACCAATTTATACTTATGCAAACCAACCCGATTGAAAATTAAAAAAAAATATTGTTAGGAACATCTAACAAGTGCTGATAATTTTGAATTTTCCTAAAAAATGCTTTAACTTTCAAGGATTATGCACAAAAAAGTACTTTATAACAAACATAATTCAAAATGCTACACATTTCCTTTTCAAGCATCATGAACATAAAACTGCTATCACATATTTGCATGATTCATCAAAGAACAATAAAATACACAAAACATTTGTCCAAATTACAAATATCAGAAAAAATATTCCATATTAATCCCTTAATTATTATTATTATATAATACATTCAGCCAATGTCTAGCACTCAAAACACTGCAATTATACAGATCCAAAGATTAATATTACAAAGCCATGTTCATCATTACCCTTCAAAAGCTACATACAATGCCATGTGTCCAAGATGCAATGGCTTTTTCATTTTTTTAACCAAATCTCCCGATTTCCCCATGTTTGTAAGATACCGATGGCCATTTGTTTAAAAATCTGTAGAAATTTTGCTTGAAATACAGACTACAATGGCACAATAGTGATCCTAAGCAGGACATTCAACCAAAAATACAAGTAAACTAGTCTGTTTTATTGTACCACCCTCCATTCAAATTCTTTTTTCTAAAGACAGAAATGAATGGTGGACTTTTCTTGGATAAACATTTTAAAACATATTAAATGATCAAACATTCTTATCATAAAATTGTCCCAAGTTTGTTACGTGTTCCAATGTCAAATATAATTTATCATAACCATAACAAACTATATACCAACAGTTACATCAAGAAGGTGTGAGAGATATACATACAAATGCTGTATACTGGATGTATACATTACATGTATAACCTGTCAAATGTGATGTTATCTTAAACACATTACTACTTTAAAATCTGAAGTATTCTATGGATATATACATGTACAAACTTAAGGAAGAAAATACAAACTTTTGCAAGATCTTCACAAAATTGTCAGAGTAAATTGAATAATTCTTGCTTAGGTTTTCTGACAATAACTTTTCTTATATATTAGTAATCATAAAATTGACAAAAGATACAGTCAAGGAAAATATTCTTGAAGAAGTCTGCATGCCAAACTGAGAAAAAAATTGCAGTCATTGTGTTCTTCAAAAAGCAAAATGTACATGTACAGTATCAGTTATTTTCCTGGCATTTATTAAATTTATATACATTTCAAAGTCTCACAAAGTTTATCTGATAACAAGATTATGTCAAAATTTCAAATAAATGTAACTGAATTTAAATTTTCAATTTTCAAAGTTAATGGGAGTTTCTTAATTTTATTAAAAAGAACAAATTTTAAAAAGAAAAAAGAGTAATACATTTTTTCACTTTATTATCATAATAAAAATATTTCTAATTTCTCTTAAAGAAAAATATACCACAATTAGCTTCATTTCAACAGTTATACATGTAAGTACATGTTGCATTTTTTTAGGGGAATTTTTTTTTATACATGTATTTTTTTAAAATTTATTTTAAAGATGAAGTCTTATCTATGTTATAAAAAGGTCTTAAATAATGAATAACTGATATAATATTTACTATGTAAAAACATCATCAACACTCAAAGAACTTAAAATAACATGTTATAACATCCCTAAAACCCTTGATGGTAAATATCATGATGAAATGTCACAGTCTTGTTATGTCTGCAGATGTAATTTCTTTCAAAAAATCCAAATAGATTGTTTGTATGGCAAGTAGATAAACAATTTAATTCATAGACATTAAATACCAACACTTTAATTTTTTAGACTTGTTTTTGATTCTTAAACAACCTTGAAGCTTCCTGTTCAATGCCAGACTATGTACTTGTATGTTTTTTAAGTTTCAAGTGAAAAGTGTATTGATTAAATGCAATCTTTAAGTTTCCACTTTTAAAGTTTTTATCTACTTTGATTATAAATATCAACCACAATGTTAAGCACGAGTCCCAGTCACCATAAGCCATTAGAGAGTAGTCATTATCGGGTGTAATTCAACCAAAATGTCAATGTATTGTCATTCATAATCGGTAACAACAGTTGTAAATAATGACTACTGTGTACAAATATTCCTCGCACTCACACCACTTCATACCTTAAACAAATCATAACTATGAACAAGTGTGAGCCAATTCAAAAAAAGTGTTAAATACTTTTAAGTGTAATTGAAGTTAAACTTTTTCAGAAACAATTACCACCATTTTGCACATGGGTGAAAAAGGGCAGTATTTTCTAATCAATTGATACATTAATACTGCATCATTTCTCAACAAAAACATGATTTGTAATATTTTATCACTTGGTCAACTATAAAAATAATTTAAAAAGTGACTTAACAAAAAGGAAAGGGAAAAATATTAAGAGCATTAAACAAGATGTCACAAAAATGATGTAAATTTTAAAATGTTTATAATTTTGTGAGAAAATGGCATTTATTTCAACACCGGTTACATAGAGCGCATGTCAGATTGGTCTCAATCTTTCAACCAATGTTGATAATGTTGCTAATGTGTAGAATGATATCCATGAAAAGTATGAATACTCTACCTAACCCAGTGTCCATTCTGTAATTAAAATTAACCATTTGTCCACTCATCCCCTTTCTCAAGATATCATATTAATCCAATGAGACTGTGATGTCTAAGAGACAAAAATAGTCAAAAATCTTCCTCTAATCTACAATATATTTCACATTCAGATGATATTTCATACAATTGTGCATATTTTAAATTATAAAAAAAGTTTGACTTTTATGAGGGCAGAATTATGCCTTTACCATATATAGTTTTTTTTTAAATTGTGTGTGTGTGTGTGTTTTAATAATGTATAGGTACACACTCATTGAAGCTGTGTTAATACACAATATAAAGTTGATAATGACATTTAGAAAGAAATATGAAAAAAAAAAATGTTTTCATGACAAAACATGAAAAAACTAGAGTTTTGAACACTGCCATTACAAGAAAATCCCCAAAATGAATTTTCAACATGTTCCAGTATGGCATACATGAGTATAATGTAGTCATAGAAAAATGAAGTGATTTTTTTTTTTTTACTATACAATATCTATAAATCCATGGCTGAAAACTCATTAAGCAGATTTTTTTTTTTAATTTAGTCAAGGTGACATGAGCTCAAAGTAAGAAAATGAAGAATTAAAACATGATTTTCTAACAGAAGCCAAGGAATACATTTATAAATAAATCTGACTGATAGACATCTTACAAAGAAGTAACATGCTTGTGTCACACAATCAAAATTCAATTTCAACGCTTTTAGTCCATTTTCAAGTTCACATAAATGTATCGTACAAAATGCAGTGATGCAAAGAACGAGACAGTCCCCAGCATCAAGAAGAAGACGTAACATGTGAGAAAAGTGTAGCCGAAAAACTCAATAGTCTGTAAGGCACCCGACATGTTGGACCGCTTGAAGTAGTAAAACAAGGCATACAGAAAGACAAAAATTCCAGTGGATCTGAAAAATAAAAAAAGTGATCCATGTATCACAATTACACATTTTTCAAACGTTTTGGTTTGACCTCACCCAAACTAAGATTAAAAGTGATTGATAATTAAAAACCTTTGTCAGTGCAAAAAAAAAATTTCTCTGAAAAATCTGATACATGTACCTGCTGTAGAACCTTCCATGGTTTGTGGTTTGATATGATTTTTATATTAATTCAATGAGCTGTGTGTTTTTATCTTAAAGAATTTTCATACCGATAATAATACAATTAAATTGATAATACAAATGGTATCCAACCATAATCCATACGAGATTAATTCTTTCTAACGTGTTTTACATAAAGATATTTCAAGTTTTAGAACTGAACAATACAGGCTATAGTCACTGTAATACACAATGAAACAAAGGCTGGGCACTTTTTGATCATGAAAAGGTAGTAACTGAAGGCATTCTATGGTTAATCACATACCCTGCACTGAATATGGATCTCCACCACCATCGATAATCCTCAGCTGAGAGCTGAAAGTAGGTCAGGGCGATAGAGATACAGGCAGTGACCCCAATCAGAATGGCGTACACGATGAACAGAATCCCGTATAACGCATACTGCTCACGTCCCCACAGGGTGGCAAATATGTAGTACATCTCAACAGAAATCGCACTGCAATAAAAAAAAGATATGTTTTACTGCCCCTCAAGTTTGCTCTCATAATTACATTTTAACCTTAGTTCTTAGAAACTAATTTATGATCATGTGCACCAGTAAAGAACATATTACTGACTTTTTATAAAATAAAGTTATAGTCACTGAAAATGATCATTTTACCTGAATGGCAAGAACCCTCCGACTACACAGTGAGCAAAAGCTGATCTATACCAGGGAACTTGTGGTATTTCACGAGCAATATTTTTAGTTCTACAGGGGGCATCAAATCCATGGGCCCAATTTTTACCAAAAATTCCACCAATCACAGTCAAAGGGTATCCAACTGAAATAATATTAGTTCTCTAGGTGTTATATCATCACTAGCCAAGGGTTTCTGATATGTTACTTTCGTCATAAGGAGAGTAACCCTTGGCTAGCCGAGATGTGAGTGTTTCACATCAATAAATTCTTTTTTAAAGAGTGTTCAAAAAATCAGAAATCAGTTTGAATATACACATACCAAAACAATAGACAACATGTTAATTCCAGATCGTACTATCGATTGAAAAAATATGTTCGTGCACTGATGTAAAACTTAGCTTCAATGTAAAAACTCCATCAATGGATGGCTAGGGCACTAAAAAGTTACTGTATATGCATTATCATCAGCAACAAAAATATTTCACTCCCCACAATTACTTACCAAAGAGCCAGAGACACATCAGTAAGACGACTGTAGTCCATGGTAAAGCTTGAGTTGTTCCGTATCCCCATGCCACAGAGTTAATCACTGCCCATATAAGGAAGAAGGGCACTGAAAAAAGGAAGTATGCAATAATTACTCCCCTTACATATAATAATTATGCAATTATTACTCCCTTTGTGGTCATGTGTCAAAGGACCAGAAATCTGGCATCTGATGTAGAAAATTAACCAGAAAATATAATAACAAGACACATGTACATTTCCCAGCATTAAGGACAGATGATACAAACTTTTTTTTTTCTTTGGAGGAGACTTCATATCATGTCACAGGCTTAGAAAAGTGGATAATTCTTTGCATTTTTTCTCCTTAGTCTTGGAAAATGAAATAGACTTGGAAAATACTAGTTAATTATTTCAATAAAATAACAAACATGGACAAAGGTTTACAGATGAAAACAAATTTCAGAATATGTTAGCTTACTGCTAAAAGTGCATTATAAACTTTTTAAAAATATATACCAAGCTAGGTAAATTTTATGAGGAAACTAAATATAGTGAAAAAATCAAATAGGCTGATTTTTACCATTTTTCAAATTATTCATAATCAACCAATCATTACCACTTTTAAACCAATTTTTACTAATACAATTATTTAACCAATCACTGCCCTATAGCATACAAAAAATACCAGTTTTTTTTTTTAATCATAGCATTATCAGCCAATAGCCTCTTTTCAACCAATTCTCTGCGTATTTCTTGAGTCTTATTGGAAGAATAATAAACATTTCGGCATGATTGACGTCACAATTCAAGTGAAGTACATAAAACATTTAAAAGAAAGAAACTTTCAATTCCATGTTTTTACATACTAGCAAACAGACAGGAGGTTAGGTTGATGTTCCAGACCCAGCTTTCTCCACCCAGCTTCTTGTAGGTGTTGGTGGCTACATACCCCGCTATACCTGAAATTAAACAACTTTATACAGATATCTAATCTAAACATTACAAGTTATTCTTTTAAAAAAGATGGGTGAGCTAGCACCAAAGCAATTTTTAAACACAGAAAGGAAGGTCTGTGATCAAGTGATTTAATTTGCTGAATTTTTTAATGTTTATCGAGGCTGGGGTGTTATAAAGGTATATTTTTTTGTAAAGACACAAGGGGGGGGGATGAAGTTTTTGTGTTGACACATTGGAGTTTCCAGAGAGTTCCGAATGAGAAGATGTGAAGTAGCTTGGCCCTTTGGGTCATCTTTGTCAACAACTGTTAGTTTAAAAGCCATACACAGATTTTTTTTTTTTTTTATAAATAATGGATTTGTTTGTAATTTTTAGTGTAAATCCTTGTTGATGGATTAACTTTTTGCTTGGCCTACATTGTCATGGTTGCAAGCATATAGAATATATTTTTACTGTGGTGAGGTCTTGAAAATACACGTGTAGAGTCCATATTTTGATTAGACATAAAAAAAAAACTCCCTTGTCTTTGTTTACAACAATCAGACTCGGGCTTTTCTGTCAGAATAAAGGGAAAATTTGAAGTATTACAATTTTATAGTTATTTTTAAAGTGTAAGATACACAATAAATAAACAAAGTTATTCAATGATACAACAAAATTGTTATCGTACGGTCTATCTGTAGTAGTTTTCAGTTTTCCCAGAATCCACGACCGTGAAGCCGAGCATGCATATTCCAGGAATTTGCACTAACGTAGTTACTAGCACTTGAGAGCGCTAGCAAAAAGTCAAAAAAATAGATTCTAAATCTAAACCTTGACCTTAAAACCAATAAAGGTAATTTTTTGCGATAAAAAACTTAATTGCAAAACTCCAAGGCCTTTTTGAAATATCATTTAGATACAAAAGTGTTACATACTGACAGAATGACAGATAAAAAAATAGACCTAAATTAACAACCTAGGCCCACATTCAGTGAAACCAGGGGATAATAGGTATACAGGCAGATGGACATGATAGGTCAGTTCTGATCAGAAAATCTTTCTATAAGGTTCCGTTCCTGTGATTTATTAAAACTTACAGGATGTAAAGGCATAAAGTACTATTCCTGCTGAGTTGATAGCCCCATGTCTATGTACATTGAACATTCCTAGAACAGCCATCAGCATTATACCAGTGGCCAGAGCTAAAAACTGACTTCCTACACCTGAAAAAAAAGAAGGAACACAAATAACAATTCTGGATCAAAACTCCTCTTCACTTCTTGTGTTTTTTCAAGGTCAACTACATTATCCCGCCACAACAGTAAGCAGTTTTAATCTTTCATTATTCAATAATATTTTCATAAAAGATTTGACATCTGATAATACATGTGGGCACACTAATTTTGTTATTGTACAATGTAACACAGCTGTCTGCTTGCCTGATGAAAGAGACATGTTTAATTACCACTAAATCAAGCAAAGATTTGGTATTTATCCTTGAGGAAAAACAATTAAACTGTTTACCTTGCAATTCAAATCATGGTCAAACAAAAATATTATGAAAGACATAAGGCCATTTTAAAAAATATATTGTTGTTTACTGGGGTTGAGGGCAACAGTTTATCTATAGGACCGGTGTGCAAAGTGCAAACTGTAAAGGCCTAAGGCCTTGGGCAACAGATTGCACACTGGTCTGACAGATCAACTTTTGCTCCAGACCCCTTTCAACTAATGTTACTGTTTTGTTATACCAATATGATAAAAAAAAATTGAATCAATACTGTATACAGTATTTGAAAAGATTTTTTTTTCAAAATTATAACCTTACCTCCAGAACATAAGAAAAAACAGGTAATCAGCATGATCAGAGATTGAAGACCTGACCTCAATGATTGTTATCTATCATTAAGGCTAAGTCATACAATTCACTAACATTCTAGAAGTTTACATCCCAAAAATGCAAACTTTAAACAATTTTGACCTGTTAGGGCTTGCAGTTACTAAAGAAATAGTCATATCCAAAAACTTCAAACTAGTCCCTCATCACGAAAATGTATTTCAAATTCAAGTTTAAAAATCCAGCACTATGCAAGTTTGGAAGCAAGTTGTGATAAACATGAAATCTTTTACCTCTTCCATTATCTGGAAAATGTATGCTGGATCTAACTTGTTCACTCATCCATAAAATGTCTATAAGTGTGTGTCCTTAGATGTTTCATCCTTGTGAATTTGCTCAACATTGGGCTCGTAGTTACTTGGAAATGAAACCTGCATGAAAAACTAATCTTTTCACTCATCTGTAAAATGTAGGTCAGATCCAACATCCGAAGCAAGCCTAATAGTATGTACATCCATATATGTATCATCCATACAAGTTTGGTTATCATAGGGGTCATAGTATCTTAGAAATGAGACCTGTGCAAAAAATTCAACCTGTTTACTCATCTGGAAAATGTAGGTCAGATACAGCATTCACAGCAAGCCTTGTAGTGTGCATCCCATGCAAGTATGTTCATCATAGGGCTCAAAGTTACTTAGAAATGGGACCTGCACCAAAAACATTAAACTTTTCACTCATCTGTAAAATGTAGGTCATATTCAGCATCTGAAGCAAGCCTGGTTATTTGCATCCTTAGATGTATCATTCATGCAAACTGGGTTAAAATAGAGCTTATAGTTACTTGGAAATAAGACCTACACCAAAAACTGCACCAAAATTGTTAACCTGCTCCAAAAACAATAACCTGGTCATTCCTTTGCTAAAATTGCAGCATCTAAAACCCTATCTGGTACAATGAAACACACTAGAAGCATTTTCCATGCTTGTCCGATCAATATAGGACATAAAAGTACTTTAACAGAAAACTGCTCCAAAAACCTTCTGGACAATTGTTTAATAAAAAGTTAAACGTTTTACGGAAAAAATTTAGTTTGATATCAAATGAGAGAAATATATACTATTTTATGTCACCTTATAATTTTTATGACGAATACTTTTGATTTGAATATAAATATTGTACTAAAAACCATTTATCCACAAGTGACGATGCAAAAGTGCTGCCAAAGGCTTATTTGAAAAAATATTTCAAAGAAATTTTTAATTTGCAAAGAGGTAGAGTAGGACTATGATACTGTTTATCAGCAATTCCATTATTCATTGTACATTTTACGGTTTATGTCCGGTTATGCTATCATAAACATTTTAAAGACAATTTACATGAATAGAGCAGCTTTTATATAGCCATACATTGTTTGAAATAAAACATTTTTTATTAAACTAGTATATTAATAAGTTTTCATGAGTAATATATTTTGTTGTCTTCAGTTTCTTATAATGTCTGTGCTGCTATGAATGCATATATTTTATCAAATTGATATAAAGAAACTCACTACTGCTTTTGACTTTTGAATCCAAAAAATGAATATGCCACAGCGATGTAATAGCCTTTTTATTTAAACAGTTTTTTGCGAATTTGTTAACAGTTGGGTTACAACAGGAGTCATTTTGGATAGTCAAAAATGCACACTAAACTTAACTACTTATATAGCCTTCATCTATACCACAAATCTGGTTAAAATTCTGACGAATTTATGCCATCAAATTTTGTAACACTCTCGCCTATTTTTCTCATTGTCAACGAGGCCCAGGGGCCACATTTAGGTCTCTTTGAGCAACCGGGCGAGATTCGATAAAACCATGCTAAGTTTGACATAAAACCATTTCAAAACAAACTAGAATCTACCATATGATAGATTGTAGTCTATGTAAACGTACCACCAACTGGCATTTGTGTCATAGCTTGCGTCCGAAGTAATGAGCAAAAGTTGTCTTGAAAATTTTAATTTTATATGTGTCTTTTGTTACGTCATTTTTATGGTCATGTATGCTAAACACCTATATTCCATCAGGGCCGGAGTTATTACATCAAAAAATTATAAAGTGACGTCACAATATGTATATATTTTGCTGATCTTTCCAATGATATCTGGCCCAGTAATTTCTGTAAAACGGTTAATCTTTTATGAAACAGTTGCCAGAACTTTTGAAATGCCCCTCATACTTTAACAGAAAACTGCTCCAAAAACCTTAACCTGGGACACCAAGGGTATCACATAAGTTCCCCAAACTTCATTGAGGTGAGCTAAAAATTACTATTTAATCAAACTGAGAGAAATTTACTATTTTATGACACTAATTTTTTGAATACTTTTGATTTGATATAAATATTGTATGGAAACCATTTAACTAGATCTTCCCTGGCCCAGTGGTTTTTCAGGAGAAGTTTTTTTATAAAGATTTATCAAACATGAATTATATTTTCTTCCAGTGACCTTGAACTTCCCCAAATGACCTTGGATCAAGGTCATGACACACCCTTGGATCATGGGTCAATCTTTGTGTGAAATGAGAACCTACAAGTTTATCCATGAGGAAGATATCCACATGAGTTATGAAATTTTTCTTCCAGTGACCTTGAAGATTTCCCCAAATTTTTCCTATATAGGTCATGACACACCCTTAGGTCATGGGCAATCTTTGTGTGGAGTAGTAGATTCTAATGTCCTTCTGTAAGAAACAAACTTGACACGATTGCACAGACTACGGACGGACGGATGCTTCCACATGAGTTTCTATATTCCTGGCCCAAACTTCGTTTGCGGGGGTTCTGGAGAAGAAGATTTTTTAAAAATTCCATTAATTTTTGCACAAATTTATGATATTTTCAGCACATTTTAATCAATGCACCATAAAATTTTAACAGACAAAAAATGAATAGAGCAGCACAAGCCATAAACAATCACCAAGATTATTTTATTCTATTTTTAAAACATTTGTAACGTTTTTGTCATCTTCAGTTTCTTATAATGTCTGTGCTGCTATGAATCATACATTGTCTATCAAATGATATAAAGAAAACCCGTTTTAGGGCCATGTGATGCCACAGCGATCAATAGCCTTTTTATTTAAACAGTTTTTTAACAGTCTGTTTAACAGTTCTAATCCAACAGGAGTCTTTATAGTCAAAATGCTGAACTTTTTCTTATATAGAGTTGTATAAGAACTGTTATTCTGGGGGTATAACAATATTGTTTGTTGACCTCTCCCGACTCAAGGTAATAATACTGGGTCGGTAGGTAGGAGGGAAAATCTTCTTTCCAGAAAATTTCAAGTTTAACATATTTGTTGAAAGAATATAACATGTAGGAATAAAAAGGGGATAAAAGTCTTAATTTTCCAGGTTACAGCTGACTGAGGTGACAACTTATTAAATATATTGAACATATCTTCATTGTATTGTTGGTAACAGACTTCTTAATGCTGTTGACTGCTAATTTTCTCCTTTGGTTCATAGACACTGACAGCAGACTGTTTTTCCGTTCCAAATCATTTCCCAATTAAAAGATAATATCGTGGTTTTTTTAGAAATAGAAAAGGATTTTAAGTAAAATGAATTTTGCCTGATACAAACCATGCTTACCTAATATTGCACAAAACAGATTTTTCTGTGGTGGAAATCTAAATACATCAGTGTGGATAATCTTCCATCCGTTTTCATCTGAATCCAGATCTTCACCATCCTCATCATCCACATTGTATCGGGCAAAGTCACTTTTTAACACTCGAGTCTGAAAAAACACAATCGAAATGACAAGATAATGTAATCAACTTTCTTTCCATTTTTAATATATTTCTCCTTTTTTCTTGGTTGTTTTTAACCAAGCCAACATCTTGAAATTACAATGCCCCCTAAAAAGTACCAGTACTTTTGGCAAGTCTGCAGCAACACTACAAGATAACTGCTTTTCTCACACTGTTGCCCCTTCCTTTGAGCTTTTGCAATGTTTAGCATAGCAACTCCCTGTTCTCACCTTAAAGAAGACCCCTATTGATTTTCACCTTGTTGCTGTTCAAGGTCATAAATAAGCCTTCTCTCTGTTAAAACACTTCCTGTTCTCACCTTGTTTCTCTTAGAACCATTTGAGCTATTGCAATGAAATTTTACATAACAACTCCCTGTCACCTTGTTGACCCCTATTGATTTTGAGGTCAAAAGGTCAAAGTTCCTGTTCTCAAATTTTACATTCTCTCTGTGTGTAACACATTGTTTCCACCCCTTACTTTTTCAAGATTGTTTTTTGTTTATGCAACTGTGCCATATTTTTTCAAAACTCCATTGACCCAGTATTTCCTTATCTCAAATTCTTGCCGTTCCCTTTCCTTATTTCAAATTAATAGTGCCTTGTTCTTCCTTTTAGCATTTTGTTGCCCTCCAATTCTTTTTCTCACAATGTCTGCCTTTTCTTTCTTTTTGCATATTGCTGCCCTCCCCTTTCTATGCTCAAACTGTTGCTCTCAATCTTCTTTTGTGAAAGGGTTGCCTTCATTACCTTGCATTCTCTTTGCTTAATATGTGATTTAGATAGGAAGCAAGAGGACATACCGTATAAATGGAAATTTTAGCGAGACACAAATTTAGCGATTTCTTCCTTAAATCTGGTACTGTAAACCAACTTTTATTCGCGTGCGAGAAATATCGGCGAGATCTGCGACCTCCTTTAACTTGCGAATATTAATCGCCTTGAACCATTTATTTTGGTAAGAATTTGTAGAGAATCATCACTACAGTGTGATAAATATTCCATATAAAAAAATCTTGACAAATCGCATAATAAAAGATGACGCGAATAATAGTTGGTTTACAGTATTTTTATTTTTAGTGAGAAGTAATTTTAGCAATTTTAAAATGCTAACTAAAGAAGCTATTACAAATAATACGCAATTAATTTTTAGCGATATTCAATTTTAGCAATGTCAGCACCCTTGCTAATAATGCCAAAATTAAATCCTCGCTAAAAATTCTACTTATACGGTATTAGTTTAACTAGGACGCCAACCCTGTAGCATAAACATCCTTTACTATCTTAACAAACATATTTTCAAAAACATGATCTTTGTTTTGCTTTTTACATATATCTACCAAATTATATGAAGTAGTTTTTATTTTCAAGATATTATAGAAAATATGTTTTTAATATCAAATTAAAATAACATAGCATGCTTATTAATTGTCCATGTAACTGCCTTTGGCTATACTTCTTACGATTTGAATTTGTAAACTTATTTTTTTTTTCAATGACCAATCCAAGACTTCGGTAAAAAATCTTCTTTGAGTGTTAATGGTAACATATTCTACCACGATTATTGCTGAGATCAAAGAAATGCCGGGGACATTATTCTCCAATAAATCACGAACGTCATCAAATAATTATCAGAATTATCAGATAAAAAACATATATTAAACCTGTACAGTTCAAATGCATATTTGACTATAGAATGAAATACTTGTTTAAACCACATCAATGTGTCATCTTTTAAGCAGTCTAAACACTGTAAATTGCATAAAGTTGCTGATGAATTTCGATGTTTATAGCTAAGTGGGGCTGTTCCATGGACCTCCCTGCACAATTTAAACAATCTGATTTTAGTCCACTCTTATATTAAAGCAATAAAATAAAAAAATACGATTTTGTTATTGTATATTCATTAAAATTAATCAATCTATGCAACAAATTTGTAATTTTAATGCAATGAAAGCTGAAATCGTCTGCATTCTGTATACAGGTAAGCAAACATATTTCCCCTCTGGTGTTAAATGGAACAGCATAACGCGACATGTTGACCTAATTCATTTCTCTATAGAGGAAATGATCAGTCCTATTTTAGAGCTCTTAGTAGAATAGAAATAAAGTCCTTGTTGTCATGAATGATGTAGACTGGCATTTCCTGTCGGTCGTGGAAATAAAGGTGACTATCGATCTTAAGCCAGACAAATCCTGAGTAAAAGATGACGCGAATAATAGTTGGTTTATATTATTTTTATTGGCAGTGGAAATAACCAGCAATTTTAAAATGAGAGAGCTATTACAAATAATACGCAATTAATTTTAAAATGTGATTTTCAATTAATGAATGTTGCAGCACCCTTGCTAATAATGCCAAAATTAAATCCTCGCTAAAGAGCTTCGCAAGGTAATTAAAATACATTCAGGCGAAGCGAAAGGTGTGAGTGAAATATATAATAAAACAGGTAACTCTCGATACCTCGAAGTCAGCCGGACCAATGAAAAACTGCGAGAGATCAAGAGTTCAAGGTTTAAAGAGTCCAGAATTTTCCGGGTTTGTTAACCGGTTTTAAAATTAGTCTTAGCGGATGTGATGATTTTAATGCAGTGCTATCCTTTAACACGTGGTTTTTATAAAACAACGATGTTTTCGTATTTTAGACAAATATTGAAAAGTATCCTGAATATACCGGTAAGTATTAAAAACCGAGTATATGTAGGTCTAGAATTTTTCAAAAATTATAATTATAAAAGGTAACGCTATAACGTCTGATGTCTCTGCACTCTGTGATCTGTTTTGGTTTCCCAGACACATTTAAATTTCTACGTCAGCGCGAGAGTTTTTATCAGCCAATGAGCACAGCCGGAAGAGGGCTCTTTACATTACTGGTCACCTGTCTGTATATCGAGGATCAGACAGGCAAGCCAGTCTATGTAGGATGCAATATAACCTCCTCGGACTCGAAATGTTGTTTGAAACATAAAAGCTTCGGCTAACGCCTTGGCTTTTATCTTTCAAACAATATTTCAAAGGTTATCCTGCAACATTCATGAAAACACGGACTTCATGTCTTAAATATTTTGACATCTTAAATATTTTGACATTGAATACAGTTGGTAGATTATCATTTTAACTAGTTTGTTCAGAGGAATGAATCACCTCTGAGGATTTAATTGTAAAATTAATGTCAATTCACTTGGTTGAGGTTTTATTGGAAAATATTTACATGTGACTTCAAGGACACTGATTAATGAGTTATTGTCATGTTTTTCATTACACGTTTTAATATATTACATTAAAATAAGTTGGGAATACGTGAGAGAATATGAAAGACAAGTGTATTGACCTTTATTCAGTCCAAAGGTATGAGTATAAACAATTAATTTATATTTATATGTTTTCAATGATGCTGCTTCACTTTTTTAAATATTGTATGAGCTTTTAATTTATATTTATGAAAAATTTCTTCTATGCTTTTACATTGGACACCAGTATATAAATATGCATATGCTTTGAGAGTTTTATTAAGTGTTTTACTTATCAGGTGGATTTATCGAGACAATTTCATTTTGGATTAATAAAAGCATAACTGTACTTCCAACTTAATTTCTTAAATTGGAAATGTTCTATTTTCTTTATCTTTGATATGTAGCTGAACTGTTACTGCTATGGTTCTTTTCCTCATAAATCAAACCAGTTGGACTTTTTGATAGGTATCATTATCAGATTTAACATAGAAATCCTATCAGTTTACAACAGATTTAATGCTGAATTCCTATCAGTTTACAACAAATTTTACACTGAATTCCTATCAGTTCACGGCAGATTTCACTACACTGAATTCCTATCAGTTCACGGCAGATTTCATTACACTGAATTCCTATCAGTTTACAGCAGATATCATAACACTGAATTCCTATCAGTTTACAGCAGATTTCATTACACTGAATTCCTATCAGTTCACGGCAGATTTCATTACACTGAATTCCTATCAGTTTACAGCAGATATCATAACACTGAATTCCTATCAGTTCACGGCAGATTTCATTACACTGAATTCCTATCAGTTCACGGCAGATTTCATTACACTGAATTCCTATCAGTTTACAGCAGATTTCATAACACTGAATTCCTATCAGTTCACGGCAGATTTCATTACACTGAATTCCTATCAGTTTACAGCAGAGTTTACAATGAATTCCTATCAGCTTACAGCAGATTTTACTGTATTCCTAATATGTTGCAGTGCGACTGTTAGGGCGAGTGCAGATACTTATATATTCCATTTTAAATTAGATCCGACTCGTCAAACCGCATGTGAAATTTGTCATGTTTAGACTCTTGACTTCACATGCTGTAGGGTAAGTTAGGCCTTCATTGCCAAACCAAGGCTTAAACAGTGCGGTTTTAATGTTTAATGTTAAGAACTATCTATCAGTGCTTTACGTTGTGCTGCTTGCTATGCTCATTATCAGTTTACAGTAATATTAATTCTTACATGTACCAGAATGTTTTATTTACTATCTATCAGTGCTTTACTTTGTGCTGCTCACTGAGCTCATTATCAGTTTACAGTAATATTAATCCTTACCAGAATGTTTTATTTACTATCTATCAGTGCTTTACTTTGTGCTGCTCACTGAGCTCATTATCAGTTTACAGTAATATTAATCCTTACCAGAATGATGACCACAAAGCCAATGAGAAGAAAAACTAACACCATGGAGTTGATAATGGACAACCAGTGGATCTGAAATATATATTTCTAAAACATGACTACCATATTTACCCCCCGACACTCTATCTAGGCATACTTAAACATCACGTAATCACCTTGACATATCTATTTCATTTGAGATTTCAGTGTTCAAAGACTAAAGTTCAATGTACAAAATTTCATCTGTGAATAACTGTGCAGCTGGTCAGACTCTGAGATGAACTTTAGGTGTGCCTTATCAAAACAAAAATTTTACTTCTATGTTTTGTAACAGATTTTGAAAATGTATGCAAAACAATAACCCAACCGATATTAAATATTCAGATTGTGAAAAACAA